GCTGCCCTCCCCCTACACCCCTGGCCCATGACATGACACAAACTCCGCAGTGCTCATACGTGGTGGGGGCATCTGAAGTCAGAGGGTACTTTCTGTTAGTGACCAGCTCACAGCCCAGGCCCCTTGTCTCTTGTCTACCAATCCCATAGCCACTCAGTGTGGACTGGGGCCAGGACAGCAGGAGGCAGGTCCTCCGAGCCCAAAGCCAATTGTCACAGCCCACAGCTGCCCTTCCCTGCCAGAGCCACCATGCCAGCTGTGAAAAGCCCAAAAGCAGGGCCGCTCTTGCGCCCTGGCCCTGTCTGGAGCCTGGCTCTGGCCTTGGCCCCACCACTCTGCTGTGGGGAGAACAGACATATGGGGTGCAAGTTCACAGCGGGGGTCAGGAAGGGCCCCTCAGCTCTCACTTGGCATGCAAGGTGGGACCCAGGTAGGGCCCCGTAGCTGGCACAGTCATGGGGGCTCTGGGAAGAGGTGAGGCAGCAAGACCTGCCCAGGGTTCCTGAGGAAGCTGTGAACCTGGCCTGGACTCTTCTTGTCCAGATGTCACGCTGGCCCTTGGTGGCTCCTGGTCTATCCACTTGGGCAACGGGCAATGCTCATCACAAGGGTCCAGAGCTCTGTGTGTGCTGGGTGCCATACGTGCACTATCTATGCAGCCTGAGGACCCAGCATGGACCTCTCTGCTTGAGCAATAAAAGGCCCTGCTGCATCTTGCAGGCCGCACCAGGGCCGGGAGCTGCAGTCCCTACTCTGGGCCACCCAGCTGTCTGGTGGGGCCCTGAGATGGTGCGTGCTGCACCCAGAGCCCTGCAGAGCCTGCTGTCTCTGGAACTGTAAGGCTCACAAACCTTACACCTGCCAGTCCAGCTGGAGGAGCCCAAAGCCAAGCCCCTCTATCTGGTCCTTCTCCTAACTAACTTCCACTGGAATTTCCTGTTCATGAATCCATCCCAGAGAGCAAACCGGCTGCCCACAGCCCTCTGAAGCCTGTGGCACAAGGAGACCCCATGCAGCTGACAGACAGCCTTGGCTCACCTGTCAACATCCAGCTCCAGCAGATGTACAGCTGGGCAGGTGCCCACCAGAAAGTGCTCTTGCACCAGGTTTTGTGGGCAGAACGTCCCAACAGGAGGGCTCCCTGTGTAGCCTGCTGTCCCCTGCCCTGCTGCCAACAGGACCTGCACCCAGGGCTCCACCCAGAGTTCCTAAGGGCACACAGCTGACAACTGGGAAGCACAAGTCACCTGGGCAGGACTGCAGGTCCAGGCTGCTCCCGTGTCCTCTGCAGGTGCCCCAGGTGTGGGCTCAAGGCGACTGTCCCTGGCCTGACCGCGCGGCCAGCCCCGCATACCACCCACAGCCCCGGGTCCATCTGGGTAGACTCACGGCGGGGGCATCGGTCGAGGTGTAGCGCAGGATGACTTGGAAGGGCTGGTGGGCCTGCAGCTCAGGCGGCAGCGTGACCGTAAGCGACGAGCCGTAGTCGGTGAACGGGTCCAACCTGAAGGCCAGCGGGCAGCAGGCGGGCTCGGCGCCGGGCATCTCAGGGAAGGCGGGCAGCGGGGGCGGCTGGGGCCCAGTCCCGGGGGTGGGGAAGGCGAAGGCGCAGGGCGTCTCGGCGACGGGAACGCGGCGGAAGGCGGCCGAGTGCAGGCGCAGGGCCGGGTGCGCATCCAGCACGAGCGCGCGGGGCGCGGGCCGCAGCGCGCACAGCTCGAGCACCAGGCAGCCGGCCAGCTCACGCGCCTCGGGCCGCAACTCCAGGCCCAGCTGCAGGTGGCGGAGGCGGAAGAGCTGCGCGCTGGAGGCCG